GCCAGGACAGAAAGAGGAGTGATAGTGTAATCGTTTTCGTTAAAACGTTTGTCGAGGGATTGACTTCACTTGTCTCTTTGATGAGTTCGTAGCTTGGTGCGGAGAATGGCAAAACTCACTGATGATGCCGGCGAAACATTTGAGAATGTACCAAGCCCACTGATTGATGATGGGAATCATGACAACTACTGTGGCAGACGACTTCGGACTAGGTGAGTTCAACTAGGTCGCCCTGACAACAAGACCAAGTTGCGACGAGGTCAACCCACTTCTTAATGTATAAAGGTGAAAATGGAAAAAAAACGTTCTCACAGACGAATTAAGGACAAAATATCCACCATGTAGATTTTTTAACAGAAAAACACTGCAAGACATGTTCGATATAAGAAATCATCTGAAGAGGAAAGACCTAGATGTTACGAATCTCCGGCTAAGAATTAGTCGAAAGGACGATTAAAATAATTGGGACAACGAATGAGACATAGGTTGCCAGTTAAATTGCTTCATCACTAGGGAATAAGGATCCAAACGTATTAATTGATACCGACCCCAAATAAGAAATATATTAAATTAGTTAACTTTGATAGCGTCGAGAAGTGAATGTCAGATCTGATGCTAAGGTGATGAATTTTGAAAGCATTAATATTGTTTCAGCACAAGCTCTAGAACGTGAATGCGCAATCAGGTGCATGTTGTCAAAACCTCGATTACATGAAAGTGCTTGCTCTACTTGGTAGAAAGAAATCGCATACATACTATGAACGAGTACATGGTTTCTATTAAACTATTTATGAACAACGAATATAAGCCAGAAAAACTATAAAATTCACGAATTTGCCAAGGTAATCACTATGAAGTTAATGACAAGGAGCTGATAAGGCGATGATTTTTTCCATTTATGAATAAGTCCCTCTATTAAATGTACTTTTTGCATGAAAGGTAGGAGCAATTCCAAAATACATTACTAGTTTTAATACTAGCATGGGGAAACAAGATAAAGAATTGTTTCCTGACCTTACTCTTTAATCCTCTGTGCCACTCATAAGAAAACCCGACCAAACAGACTACGTTGGTCTTCATATCTACGATAACCTTATTAATGATGTAAGTTTCCATGGTTCTTCCCACCGAAGATATTAACCATAAACATGGGCAAAAAGTTTGAGTATTAACTCAGTAAATAAGACGATAAAAATAGATGAGAAAATGAATTTTGAGAAAGCATTCTACTAAATTCACAATAAAACAAACTTATTTAGGAATAGAGATTACGATAAATTAGATTTTTTCAATTTCTTTTATTAGCATGCTCTAAAAATCACTTAAAAATTTGCATCCTCAGCTTCATTTGCATATTAAAAAAATTTAAAATAAAAAATCGATTTTCGTATTATGCGCTAACTCGTTAGTTCTCATATTTAGTTCTGCTTTGCTCGATTATTCCACTAAGATTTTGCAAAAAATTTCTCTATAACTTTGGCAATGCATATAAGCTGTATGTTTTTTCTAGAATCTCGTTTAAGCTATTCGTACAGAGAGATAAGAATAGTAAAGTAATGCCATATGAAAGTCTTAAACAAAATGAGTCATTCGTTCAGTATTCTTCGTGAAATTAATACTAAGCAAAAATATTTTGCTCTAAAAAAATTTAAGATCAATTATCAACCTTTCATCTATTTTAGTGACATCGGTAAAAAAAGTATAACAATTAAATGACGATTTTGCTTGAAGATGGAGGATACGCCGCAATGCCTACTTAATACTCTTCTATAATGTATTAAGCTACTAATCTTTCCATTCGATATGAAGAAATTATATGGGATTATAGAAAAACAGACATCATAGAGAGTATAAAGGAATATATTACATAACGATAAGAACTAAAAGAGTACTTGCACAATATGAAAATAGATGTTAACCAAACGTTTTTTCGATATGAAGTTGGAAATGTGGAGAGGAAATTTAAGATAGTGATGGATAGATGATAGAGTAATCATTTCCGAAAACTGAAGCTTAGAACTTGAACTCTTTGTACTTCTTTGATGTAGACGGGTTGGAGACCGTTGTAGATAGCGCCTTACCAGAGATGACCACAGGAGCGCCTCCTGCATTAGCGTTTGTAGCCACGAGGTCTCGTTCACTGGATCTCTTGCGGAGCATTGCATCACGAGGATTTTCAGCCTGATTTATTGGAAAGATTGTAAATTAACAGAAATAATAGCAAACAAGTAAACAAATTATGGATAATAAATAAACAAGGCATCAAAATTTTGGAAGATAGAATTACTGACAGCATTTTAAGTAAAACAACAAAAACAAGTAAATTTAAACCAATCTGATAAAAGTATGCGCATTCCAAGTAGATACTTAATTGTGGCATACATATGGTGTAAAGAAAAAAAACATTTACAACTGTGAACTTAGGTAAATTATAATTTTTTTCAATAAATTCTGAAAAACATCTGAGATGCATATGCACCTACGGGCATTTTAACATTTTGATACATCACTCATAGATAGATTTGAAAACGAGGCACTCAATAAGTCAGCCGGTCTATGCATGACGAGCATGGAAGATGGTTATTCTAAATATGTAACCATTATTCGCAGATTAATTGAAAATAGTAGCCGATTTTGCAATTTGTGGCCGAAAAGTGGGCACCGCAACCGACTATGGAAGACTAAACAATACAAGTGAGAAACACTAATATTCTCTTCTTAATCTAAGGTGAGTTTAAGGGTTGCCCTTTGCCGTAAAAATGTCGAAAAACGACTAAAGATTTACTTGAGTCGATGGAGTGCGCGCCAAAAACTGGAGCATACGCACAACATCCAAGAGGGAATCAAACGTCGCTTTTTCAATAGTTTTTGCGATAAATTGGTACAACATAAATGATAATTAATTTCGGAGCCAAAATGGCTGATCACACTCTCTTAGCATTGATAAATATAATTAATGGTTTTACTTAGCATGCACGAATTTCCAAATTCAAACTCCATAGCAGTACAAATACTAGATTCTAGATTAATGGGGTACCTAAAAGCGTACAGTTTACATTTTTTAAAATTAAAGTATACCTTCGCCTATAAAAATAAAACAAGTTAATAGTTAAGAGCCATCAGAATGGAATGTATATATGGAACTAGTCTACTGCAGCAGCCTTGTTTACTATAAATATGTAAACAGATGAGTGGGATATTTATGTGAATAAATTGGGTTCCGGAGAATCCCTTAAAAGCTTGATGTTGGAGTACCTTTCATTTCGTTTAAAGAGGCAAGTGGAAAGGATTCGTAAATTGGCCTTACTGGAATCTGTAGGGGAATTTTCTTGGAGCTGCGACCATAGATTTATGCTAAGTCATATGCGCGCCGCCCTACGAGCCCAATTAACTCCTGCTGAGCTTTCGTCCGTCGTGACGGACATCGTCAGAGCAGGACACCATGTTTAACGATAATTCACAAAAGCACGACGGAAGGAA